AATTCTGTTAGTGTCCATCCCTAGACGCAACATCCATGCAAGTTAGTCCAAGTAGGGCTCACAGTTCCTTAAAGAGTGGACTTGCTCCAAAATTTTTTTCATTCATCTGGAAAATGTAGGTAAGATCCAACATCTGAAGCAAGTCTGTTAGTGTCTTTCTCTAGATATATCACCCATGCAAGACTGATCCAGATAAGGGTATAGTTTCTTGGGAATGGACCTGCTCCAAAAACTATTAATAACCTGCTCGCTTATCTGGAAAATGTAGGTCAGATCCAGTGTCTGAAGCAATTCTGTTAGTGTCCATCCCTAGATGCATCATCCATGCAAGTTTGGTCCAGGTAAGGCTTTTAGTTACTAGGGAATGGACTTGCTCCTAAAACTTAAACTTGGATTCTAACACTGAACGTATAGCATATGCTCATCTTCGTCGAGGTGAGCTAAAAATATGAACTTATAATGCTTATATGAATTTATAGATATTTAAAAAAAGACATTTAAGCAATAACACTTTAAATATTTCATTAAATCAGAAACCACACAAGGATCTTTCTTTAAGTGATTGAATGTAAATCAAATATGGTACCAAATTTGATGCACCAGACACACATTTTGACAAATTATGTCTCTTCAGTGATGCTCATGCCAAAATGTTGGAAATCCAAAATATTGTTTTAAAACTTTGAAGAGCTTAAAAAAGGTGCCAAAACTGGAGGCAAATGCATTAAAAGATCAGAGCTATGCATGAGGGAGATAATCCTTAATTTTGAAATAAATTTCTAAATTTTACCACAGCAATTAAATATACGAGGGTAGTTCGGAAAGTTCGTGGACTACCATCATAACTTTTTTACTTAACATCATATTATATCCAAATTTGGAAGAAATTTTTCAACAGTAAATTCAAATGATGTGTATTAAAATTTTCTAAAATACCGTGATTTATTTCAAACTTATTTAGACTTTAAAAATGTGAAAATCGGATCACGGAGCAGGTTAAAATTTAGCAATTAACAATCAAGACACTTAATAATATCTGAAGTTATATCTTCTGTAAAATGATTTTAAAAAAAAAAAAAAAGGAAAAATTCTACACGTTCATATAAGAATTGTTTCATCGTTTCTGATTCCAAATTATGACTTAATATTTTGACTCGTTGAAAAGAAATCAGTTTCAAAAGATAGGAAGTCCTCATTTGAAAATGGCAAAAAAGATGACGCCATAGAACGTCATGGAGCAGCAGTTAACCATACAGATTTTGTGTTGTACTCTGGAAAACTCCAGAAAAAAAACTCTGAAAATACCGGAGATAGTAGGAAATATGTCAAAAGCGAGCCACGCATATGTGTGTACAAGGTACAAGAAGTATTTGAATAATAGACTACTCTGCTTAGTCGATGGTGATCTCTGGGAAAACGGGTTTTCTGTAAAAATCTTATCAAACATATTGAAGAGTTAGTAACGTCATGCCAAGAGTCTGGCACTTCACAGATGCTGATCTTATGAAAGCACACTTATGCAGTGAAAAAAAATATAACATTGACAAACAAAATAATGCTACTGGAACAATTGTTAGCAAAATAGATTTCAAGTGACAGAGGAATGTTTTTAATGAGTGCACTGGTATTGGGCAATACTGTGTGAAATATATAGGGATAGTATTTTTGAGAACCTCATGTCGGTATGTTTTAGACGTTACAGTGTTGTTGAGTTTGCTCTGTGGGTACAAAACGAGTTGATTTTAAAATTAAATAACATGAATTCTATTAAATCACATGGAATGAAACTTCACACTTAATCAAAATAAATATTTTTACATATGATAATGTGCTCATTTTAGATTTCTTGAAGATTGATTGATTGATTGTATGTTGTTTTACGTCCCAATCGAGAATTTTTCACTCATATAGAGACGTCACCATATACCGGTGAAGGGCTTCAAATTTTGACCTTTACTCGGCACTCAGGGCCATTGAGCAGTGAGGGATCTTTATCGTGCCAACGCCTTCCGTGACACGGGGCCTCGGTTTTTAAGGTCTCATCCGAAGGACCCGCAACTTTCACTTCAAAGTGCCGAGCGCATGGCGAAGGAACAGTTGCTACCCATTTTATCGACTTGGGTCTGTCGCGGCCGAGATTCGAACTCACGACCTCCCGATCACGGAGCGAGCGCTCTACCGACTGAGCTACCGTGAACGGTGATTTCTTGAAGAAAGTATTATAAAGATTAGCATAGTCCACGAACTTTTCAAACAACCCTCGTATATCCGAATTTTTTTAAGCTAACACCGAAGTACTTAACTACTGGGCTGTATTGAACTAATTTACTCAGTGATTTACAGTTATTAATTTGACTTGTAGTGATTGACCTATTTATACTCTATATTGAATAAATTAATTACTAGGTAGTATTTGAACTATTTTTATTATTTTAATTTTTAGTGATTGAACTACATATTATACTCTGTGATTGAAGTGAATTACTCTGTAGTGATTGAACTATTTTTTACTCACTGTATAGTGATTTACCATAACTATTTTACTGTGTAGTGATTGAACTATTTTTTACTCACTGCAGGGTTTGACATTAACTTTAATGAGCACTAGAGCAGTCGGGCTACTTCCCATAATTTTTACTAGCCATGACCAGAAAATCACTAGCCCTGACCAAACTTGAAAATTTACTTTTTATAACCTGCTAATTATCATGGGAAAAAAAGTTGGAAACCATACTTCAATAAAGGTATCGTCTCTCGCACCTGTTAAGATATACTTTGAAAGACTGTTCCATAGGTCGCAGGACATTGAGTTGGGATAAGCGGGACATGCAAATATTATAAGCCTTAAAGAACACTCAACAAACTTTAATAAAATAATTACCCTAAATATAAATAAATTAAAAGAATATATTATAGTATATTATATATCAATAACTATTCATTCCAATTTAAACTGAACAAAGCTAGTTTTGATCATGACTGGTCTTTTACAGCTGGATTAAAAATAGCGATTGTGTCATGCATGAAAATTTTCTTCTACAGAGTGATGGTTATGTTTACAATCAGACAAACAAGATTAAACAAGATGTGTTTGTGAAACACTGATGCCCCCATATGGCAACTTATAGCAAAGGTTAAACTTTCTCAAATGCAAATCAAATATGTTGGTACCCAAAGTAAGGTCTTGTGTCGAGGAATATACCTGTGAAATATGAAGGCCCTAGGAGCAACCATTGAATAGATATGGAAAGGGTTAAAGTTTTTCAAAAGTAATTCAAACGTCAAGGTCAAATGGTCAAAATTAATGCCTAAGGAAAGGCCTTCTCACAAGAAATATACAGGTGAAATATGAAAGCTGAAGCACCAATCGTTCTAAAGTTATGACCAAGGTTAAAGTGTTTCAAAAGTAGGTCAAACTCCAATGGATTACAATTGTTGGTATCCAAAAAAGGTCTTGTCACAAGGAAAAAACATGTTAAATATGAAAGCCCTAGCAACAACTTTTCAAAAGTTGTGTCCAAGGTTAAAGTTTTCGAAAAGTAGGTCAAACTCCAATGTCAAGGTCAAAGGGTCCAAGTTGTTGGTATCCAAAGAAAGGTCTTGTCACAAGGATTATATATGTGAAGTATGAAAGCCCTAGCACCAGCTGTTCTAAAGTTATGGTCAATGTTAATGTTTTACAAAAGTAGGTCAAACTCCAAGGTCAAGGTCAAAGGGTCCAGGTTGTTGGTATCCAAAGGAAGGTCTTGTCAAAAGAATTACATATGCTAACTATGAAAGCCTTAGCACTAACCATTCAAAAGCTATGGCCAATGTTAAAGTTTTTCAAAAGCAGGTCAAACTCCAAGGTCAAGGTCAAATATGGTGGTACCCAAAGAAATGTCTTGTCACAAGGAATACACATGTGAAGTATGAAAGCCATATCACCAATCGTTCAAAAGTTATGGCCAAGGTTAAAGTTTAGAAAAATTTTGCAAAACTGGGTCAAACTCCAAGGTCAAGGTCAAAACATTAAATATGGTGGTACCCAAAGAAAGGTCTTGTCACAAGGAATATACATGTGCAATATGAAAGCCATAGCTCCAAACAATCAAAAGTTATGGGCAATGTTAAAGTTTTTGCGGACAAACAGACAGACGGACGGACAGGGCAAAAACTATATGCCCCCGAATCTTTGATTACGGGGCATAAAAAATTTAAAATATTTATTTGAAAGACTGAAATAAGGGTTAACTTTAACATGACCAGTCGATCTAGATCACAAACATTTTACAGGACCGGAAGACTCATTTACCAGACTGGGTCGGTCGGATGTGCCTTAGTGTCAAACCCTGCACTGTATAGTGATTTACTGTATTTATTTTACTCTGTAGTGATTGAACTATTTTTTACTCACTGTACAGTGATTTACCATAACTTACTCTGTGGTGATTGAACTATTTTTTACTCACTGTACAGTGATTTACCATAACTATTTTACTGTGTAGTGATTGAACTCTTTTTTACTCACTGTTCAGTGATTAACAGTACTCTATTTTACTCTGTAGTGATTGAACTCTTTTTTTTTGTTTTAATATGTAGTGATTTAACTGTAAAGTTGTTAGGATTCTCTGCTCGTAGCATTTACTGACATTTTCACTTAACTGTTAATTACCATTAATCACTGATTATTTACACATGTTCAATGTCTACGTGCAATCAGCAAAATATTTGGTGCATCCCCATGCATTTCTATTGCAAAGAAAACAAATTCCGAGCTTATAATATATGCAGTATACAGTACGTGTCAATCAGATATCTATTACTATATTTGGATAAGGAATCATCTCAGTAAAGATTACACATTATTAAAATCCTGAATTATTTTATACCTAGACCTAATTTAGTGAATGTCAAAAAAGTGGTTTTAAGGAAGAATTCTGATACATGGATTTTCTTTCTCCATCATTTTCAATACTTCATTAATCTCTTGAACACACAAAAAGCTGCTAAAGACTTACTGGGGGTAAACTCCTTGTAGCTGGAAATCTGTGATGTTCAACTCGACTCTTTCATTATGGAGACCGATGAAGTAGTACATACAGTGAGTATTGATAGGGTATAGGCCAGGCCATGCAGTAGAATTAAACGTCCCACTCTTATTTAAAGTTGTACTATTGAAGAAGTGTTTACAATCTTTAACATGAAATGAAAAAAAAGTTTGATTACTAATTCTCATTGTAAATTATAATAAAATTTAAAAACAACAAGCACTTTTAATTGAACTTAAATACATCACATAATTCCATTGCTCCATGTACTGAGGCATACATGTATTCTTAGTAATTTTGTCAGCAGTGATGAAAATGTATTAAGAGATATCATTAGATTTCTTGTATCTATCCTAGGCTTACTCTTTGTGTTCATAAAAAAAACTTGAATTTCTATTTCTTAACAACATCTTGGAGTATGTGTGGCTGAAAATTACAGAAGTTAAAGATGCTTTATAATTTTTATTGTATGAAAAAACTAAGCCGACCATGAGGCCTGAACCATGGACCTGGGGGCCAGGACTTTTTACAATTTTGGTAGAGATCTAAGTGCTTTCTATAACAATTGAAATAGTTTGCCTGCTAAAAGTCCATAAGTAGAAAAGATTTTTAAAGATATGATTTATTTTCAATCTAAGACCAATCAAGCCCCACCCTATGACCTGTACTATGGTCCCAACGGGCCATGAATTTCACAGATTTGATTAAGGGGTTTACATGCTATATGCCCAAGAGAAAAGAAGATGATTTTAATTTTGAATTTGAATGAACTCTACCTAAATGGAGCCTGAATCCAGAGGCCATGAATTTTGCGTTTTCAGTAAAGAGCTCATTGCATATTTTAAGTATGACAACAGTTGGACTGCTTCAGATGTCAAGAGTAAAGATTTTTGAAGATTGAAATACTTTTAATGGTTTTGGCCACATCCCTCAGGTCCCTTAGCAGGGACTACGAAATTTCAAAATTTTTTATCCCCTTTACTCATGGCTTTACTCATAGATGCTATTTAACAAAATCTGTTGAAATGGTTCAGGCATTTCAGAGAATAAGGTGAAAATGTTCAATAGTTTACAATTGATGCACAAAGCACAATGGTGGAAAAGAGGCTCATGGGTTGCAACGCTCACCTGAGTAACTGTGGCCCCTCTTGTTCGTCAGCAGATTCTTTTTCCTATATAGTCCCATGAAAATTTGATCACTCATTGTAGTTCAAAACTATTCTCAGAGGTATGATTTGAACAAATTTGAATGTACACAATCTGAGGATGCTTTTTAGCTCACCTGATTCAAAGGCTCAAGTGAGCTTTTCTGATCAAAGAGTGCCCGGCATCTGTCTGTTGTCTGTAAACTTTTCACATTTTCGACTTCTCAAGAACCACTGCGTCAATTTCAACCAAACTTGCCACAAAGCATCCTTGTAAAGGAATTTAAGTTTGTTCACAGTCAGTGCCACAACCTCTTTCAAAGGGAGATAATTAAGAACTTGTGAAAATTTGGTGGCATCATTTATAAATCTTCTTCTCAAGAACCACTGGGCAAGAAAAGATGAAACTTGTGTGAAAGCTTTATTACACACTCTAGATTCAAGTTTATACATATCATAATCGCTGTGGGTAGGGTGGGGCCACAAGAGGGGGGTCAAAGTTTTACATAGGAATATATAGGAAATGTCTTTAAAAATCTTCTTCTTGAGAACAGCAAAGCCATGTTTAGTCATATTACTATAGAAGTATCCTCAGGTAGTGTAGATTCAAGTTTGTTCCAATCTTGACCCCTGGGGGTATGGCAAGGCCACAACAGGGGGTCAAAGTTTATCATAGGAATATATAGGGAATATCTTTAAAAATCTTCTTCTCAAAAACAGCTCAGCCATTATTAATCTATTAATATAGAAGTATCCTCTGGAAGTGTAGATTCAAGTTTCTCCAAATCATGACCCTTGGGGGTTGGGCCCAGACACAACAGGGAGCCAAAGTTTTACTTAGGAAATTATAGAAAATTTTTTAAAAACTTTTCTTCTCAAGAACAGTTAACCATTATTCGTCATATCAATATAGAAGTATTCTCAGGTTTCAAGTTTCTTCAAATCATGACCCCCGGCAGTAGGGCAGGGCCACAATAGTGGGTCAAAGTTTTGCATAGAAATATATAGGTCAGTTGTAAGGGTTAAGGGGAATTTGGGCAAAATGCATTGAAGACTTCAAATAGTGGAATGACCTGACAACGTTTAGAATGGATTAGCCAAAGGGTATACAAGACAAAGCTTTGGGAAAGTCAGGCATTCCGAAGCTAGCTAAAGAAGATGGCCATTGAATTAGCAATAAAGAAGTTATGGGTAAGAGTAAAATAAAAGTATAAAAGTTATAAGCACCAGTGGCAAGTATCCTAAGGAATTGATGTTAAGTTCTGGGTGTAATAAATGTGTTCAAATTTAGAGTGGGTAGAGTGGAGCCACATTGAGCAATCAGAGTTTTACATAGGAATACATAACGGAAAAAAATCCTAAAATTCTTCTGTTCAACAAAAGCAAAGCCATGTTTAGTAATATTGATATGGAAGCATCCTGAGGGAGTGTAAATTCAAGTCCCCCCCCCCCTTGAATCTACACTACCTATGGATGAGTCCATATGAATATAACTAATCAAGGCTCTGCTGTTCTTGATTTTTCCTACATATGCCCATGTTAAACCTTGATCGCCCATAGTGGTCACACCCTACCCATGGGGTCGTGATTTGAACAAACTTGAATCTTCACTATTAAATATGGAGATAACAAACAGTATTCAAACTCAAAGTCCATTAAAACAATAAAAATCAGGAGCAGAGCAAACATGAACCCCCAAAAACTGAGGTAGGATCAGGTGGCATGGAGGAGTGAGCATCCCCTGCCAACCAGTCACACCCGCTGTGTGCTCCTTGTCATGATCGGTAAATAATGGAAAAATCTGTCAACAATTCAGTGTGTAAAAAATGGCCTAACAATTAGTATGAAAAATGTCAGTCAGCGTATGACTTATGATAGATTGTATTTGCTGACAAGGTCATTGTATCAACCAAAGAACTTACAAAATGATGACTTTAAACAAGACTGTTGATATTCTTGTTTCATCATCTTGTTTGTCAGTAACTTACCTCGTTTTAAAAATATTTCATATGTAGAGCATGCTCTTGTGTATCGAATCAACTGAGAGATATACACCCCATATGCAGGTGATAAGGGTAAATTGCTGCATAAGTATCTGAGGATGCTTCCAAATAAATATGACTAATCATAGCTTTGCTGTTCTTGAGAAGAAGATTTTTAAAGATTTTTAATGTATAAACCCATGTAAAATTTTCATCTCCCAAAGTGGCCACATCCTACTCTGGGGGTCATGATTTGAACAAACATGAATCTACACTATCTGAGAATGCTTCCATATAAATATGACTGATCAAGGCTTTGCTTTTCTTCTTCAGAAGATTTATCAAGATTTTCCTAGTATGTTTACACCTATGTAAAACTTTGATCGTCCATTGTTGTAGCCCTGCCCTATCCCTGGGGGTCATGATTTGAACAAACTTGAATCTACACTACTTAAGAATGCTTCAATATAAATACGACCAATCATGGTTTTGATGTTCTTGAGATGATTTTCAAAGATTTTTCCTACATATTCCAATGTAAAACTTTGTTTGCCTATTGTAAGCACACCATAGCCCTGGGAGTCATGATTTGAACAAACTTGAATCTACACTACGTATGAATGCTTCCATATAAATATGACTGATCATAGCTTTGCTGTTCTTAAGAAGAGGATTGTCAAAGATTTCTCCTATATAAGCCCATGTAAAACTTTGATTGTCCACAGTGGCCACACCCAACCCAGGAGTCATGATTTGAACAACCTTGAATCAACAATATGTCAGGAAGCTTTCACACATATTTAAACTTTTCTGGCCCAGTGGTTCTTGAGAAGAAGATTTTAAAATGACCCCACCCTATTTTTACTTTTTCTTAATTATTTCTCCTTGGAATAGGGCGTGGCCCTTCATATGAACAAAATCGAATCTCCTTTACTAAAGGATACTTTTGCCAAGTTTGGTTCAAACTGGCTCATTGGTTCTGGAGAAGAAGATGAAAATGTGAAAAGTATACGACGACAACCACAACAACAGACAAATTTCAATCAGAAAAGCTCACTTGAGCCTTTGGCTCAGGTGAGCTAAAATTACCTTTATAGACTGCTGTGGATGACATATAGTAAAGAATTACCTTAAAGACTGCTGTGGAGAATGAAGAGTAAAGAATTACCTTTATAGACTGCTAAAGAATTACCTTTATAGACTGCTGTGGAGGACACATAGTAAAGAATTACCTTATAGACTGCTGTGGAGAACAAAGAGTAAAGAATTACCTTTATAGACTGCTGTGGATGACACATAGTAAAGATTTACTTGACAGGCTGCTGTGGAGAACAAAGAGTAAAGAATTACCTTTATAGACTGCTATGGAGGATTACTTGATAGACTGCTGTGGAGGACACATAGTAAAGAACCTTTATAGACTGCTGTGGAGGACAAAGAATAAAGAATTACCTTTAAAGACTGCTAAGGAGGACAAAGAGTAAAGAATTACTTGATAGACTGCTGTGGAGAACAAATAGTAAAGAATTACCTTTATAGATTGCTGTGGAGGACAAAAAGAAAAGAATTACTTGATAGACTGCTATGGAGAACAAGAGTAAAAAATTACCTTTATAGACTGCTGTGGATGACATATAGTAAAGAATTACTGGATAGACTGATGTGGAGGACAAATAGTAAAGAATTACCTTTATAGACTGCTGTGGAGAACAAAGGGTAAAGAATTACTTGATAGACTGCTGTGGAAAACAAATAGTAAAGAATTACCTTTATAGACTGCTATGGAGAACAAAGAGTAAAGAATTACTTGAGAGACTGTTATAGAGAACAAAAAGTAAAGAATTACCTTTATAGACTGATGTGGAGGACAAAAAGTAAAGAATTACCTTTATAGACTGCTGTGGAGAACAAAGAGTAAAGAATTACTTGATAGACTCCTGTGGAGAACAAATAGTAAAGAATTACCTTTATAGACTGCTGTGGAGAACAAAGAGTAAAGAATTACTTTATAGACTGCTGTGTAGGACAAAAAGTAAAGAATTACCTTTATAGACTGCTGTGGAGGACAAAAAGTAAAGAATTACCTTTATAAACTGCTATGGGTGACACATAGTAAAGAATTACCTTATAGACTGCTGTGGAGAACAAAGAGTAAAGAATTACTTGATAGACTGCTGTGGATGACACATAGTAATGAATTACTTGATAGACTGCTGTGGAGGACACATAGTAAAGAATTACCTTATAGACTGCTGTGGATGACACATAGTAAAGAATTACTTGATAGACTGCTGTGGATGACACATAGTAAAGAATTACTTGATAGACTGCTGTGGAGGGCAAAGAGTAAAGAATTACCTTTATAGACTGCTGTGGAGGACAAAGAGTAAAGAATTACCTTTATAGACTGCTGTGGAGGACAAAGAGTAAAGAATTACCTTTATAGACTGCTAAGGAGGACAAAGAGTAAAGAATTACCTTTATAGACTGCTGTGGAGGTGAGTATTGGAAACAGAATGCAGCAGCCTGCAAGTGCCCAGCTTATCTGCTGCAACATCTTCTTCTGAAACCAAAACAATTTTCATTAAAATCAAGTTTATATAAGGAGTCAGGGAGACAGATCACTGATTAATAGGAAGACACTTAAAATAGATTAGTTCTGCATTAGAAGTAAAAGATAACTTATACTTTACTACTACAGACAATCTCAATAATAGATATTATTGTCAACAAATTTCTGTGCAGGTCCATAATTATTCATGCACTAATTTAAATCATTTTATATTCATTACAAATTTACACATTTGAGTAAATTTCCTAACATCAGTTGTTTTGAAAATGCAAAATGGGCTATTGATTGTTTCACATCAGTACTGGTTTTTGCTACAAATTCTAAAAAAAATTACAAAATTCCATTATTTATTAAAAACAAACCTCTGATGAGATTCCTTTCATACCCTGTAAAACAAAACATTTCAAAACATGATACACATGATATGTACCGACTGTGCACTAAATGTCATGGCATCACAGTGGGAACCAAAATTCATAGGAAATAAAAATTTAATTGTCCCGTATTTTGAATTCTTCACCAGAAATCACCATTTTTCTTCCATTCTCACTCTCATAACACCTGAAATTTCATTTGATATGATTTATTGTGCTTGGTTAATGTTAAAAATACATCATAGTCAAAGGTGTCAACATTACCGCTACATTGCAAAAAATTCCAACTCAATACCGCTATTTTTCATCTAGTTTTCAGCTGCTCTTTATAGCTACTTCTTAACATTTAGATTATTTAAAATCCTTGGCCATTCTATTTCAAAAATATACATTTTTTGCAGTTTTTTTTCTTTTACTCATCTCCACAATTCAGAATTTTTGAGTCTTACTGTATTTTGACTATAGGCTGAAGGAATTATACTAAATAGAACTCATACTTAATTGTACTCCGACTTCATTTTGAGTGAATTATATTGAATAGAACTCATATTCTAGCAGCTGCACCATCTGGGTCAAAGGCAAACTTGTGTATGTAGTGGTTATGAATTGTAATTCCCAATCGTCTTATCCAAAAAAAAAAAAAGAAAAAGATAACATTCTACTCAAAGTCCTACTTTCACCTTCCCAAGGTTAGCAGGGGAAACAGATCTTAAGCACATATATACTTTTTTACTTAATAATATCCATACATACATTATGCACTAACTAACAGAAGAGTCAATCTAGCGGTAAGGTATACCTATAAATGTAGCCATAATGTTTACTATTTTGTTGCCACAAATATGTAGCTGTAATGACTATTTTGAAAATGTAGCGTTAATGTAATGCACCCAGGTGTTAAACGTTTCTATCTTTTACTTACACAATAAAATGTTTTCTTTGGTTGTTAGTACGGGAATTAATGTTGCAGCTAATGTGGAAAAAATGCATAACCTGCGTAAGGCACCCTTGCTCATCATGACCATGCACTTAGTATGTTTACTAAATACCCATGGGCAAAGAAGAAGATTTTCAAAGAAATAATATATTTTTACTACATACTGGGTAATTTTTGTCACCGTTTTATTTTTGCCCTTGTCTCAAGAGGGAGAATTTAAAACGGGGCAAATTCAAAGTAAACAGTATTATCTCTTACATGCAACAGAGTCTGGGCAAATTTTAAAACGGGAAAAATTGTCCACAAAATACTGCAAAATAACATGGGGCAAAAATAACCCCGTATACAGTATATATTCAAAAAAGCCCCACTTTAACACCAAAACTCCTGACCCAGGAGTTATGACTTTTTGAAAAGATATCCTTTCTCAGTCAGCCCTGCAATTAGCTTGTCTGCTGGGGCAGAGAGGAAGATTTTCAAAGAAATAATGCATTTTTACTATATATATTCAACAGAACCCCCTCCAACCTGAACCCTTGATCCTGGGGCCACAAATTTCACAATTTTGGAAAATGCATTCTCAATCATCACTCACACTTAATCATATACTTAGCTTATCTGCTGAATACCCAGGAGCAGAGAAGACGATTTTTCGAAGAATAAATATCCAGTAGCAGAGAAGATTTTCAAAGAAATAATGCACAACTATATAATCACTAGAGCCCCCACCCCTCCCAAAGAACCCCTGACCCTGGGGTCACAAATTTAACAATTTTGAAAGAAGCACTCTTGATCACCATACCATGCACTTTGTTTATCTGCTGAATACTCAGGAGCAAAGAAGAACATTTTCAAAGAATCTGTGCATTTTCACTATATAATCAATACAGCCCTGCCCTAATACCAGAACTCTTGAGCCACAGGTCATGAAATTCAAAATTTTGGAAGAGGCATCCTTGCTCATTATTACTATATACTTTGTTTGTTTGCTTAATACACAGGAGCAGAGATGAAGATTTTTAAAGAATTCATGCACTTTCACTATATATTCAATAGAACCCCTCCCCCCTTCACACAAAACCTTTCACCCTGGGGTCACAAATTTCAAAATTTTGGAAGAGGTATCCTAGATTTCATAACAATGCAACTTATTTTACATGGCTTACATACAGGGGGAGAGAAGAAAATCTTTAAAGAATTTATGCATTTTCACTAAATGATCATTAGAGCCCCTACCTAACTCCAGAACCCCTCATCCTGGGGCCATGAATTTCACAATTTTGGTAGAGGGCTCAATGCTTATTACAATCATGCCAATTAACAGTTTGACAGCTTGATGTCCAGGAGTAAAGAAGATTTTTAAAGATATTACTAATTTTGATGGTTATAGCCCTACCCCTAAGGCCCCAGAGGGGGAGGGGCATGGATCATGAAATTCACAATTTTTGTTCCCCTTCACTCAAAGATGTTCTATCATAATGCTAAAATTGGTTGAAAATGGTTCAGCAGTTCCAGAGAAGAAGCTGAAAATGTTCAAGAGTTACGCATGACAGATGACACATCACAGACAAAAACAGACAGCAATAGATCACCTGAGTGGAGTTGTCAAGCTCAGAGTCTGGTCTTTTTAGCTCACCTGAGTCAAAAGCTCAAGTGAGCTTTTCTGATAAAAATGTGTTGTCTGCAGTTGTTGTTGTCATAAACTTTTCAAAATTTCATCTAGAAATTTTCTGGGAGAAATTGTTTACTTCTTAGGAAGGCAATGTAAGTCATGATGATTTTAAAGCATCCCTGAGATGAAATAATTCAAATTAAGTTATGTCCTGACCCTTTGGGGCTAGGGTGGGGTAGCAATATAGGGTAAGAATTTTCAACATATATATAAAGATGGCAAATATTTTCTTTAAAATTTTAATCCAAAACTTATCTGCTCTGTGTAGCCATAAGTATTGTCGATTCTAACACAGAGGAGGAGAAAAATGTTTAGTATCATGAAAGAAATTTAGATGACTGGAGAAATAGACTATCATATAAATTGTACTATAGACAGGGTTTTCACAAAATTCCACACTGACAATGATTAATTACTGTGAATATGATATTTTAAAAGCTACAAAAATTGCTTGAAAAAAGTAATAACACTACAGGCAGTGGTACATTTGTTGATTTGAAATCTAGGAACAAAATTTAACCTTTTATATTGATTTCCATAATTTGTACAGGGTATATTTTGTACATTTTTTTAATGAGCAATATTCAGTATTTTCACCTGAAATCCAGTATTTTCACAGCTCCTGTTCAGTATTTGGGTCTAAAAATTATCACAATGTATGCAATAAACAAAAATTTAAAAAGGAAGAATCCATCTGGAAATCATTAAAATACCTCTAAATTTTATTTTATTTGGAATGTTAAATCTCTTGCACTCCCTGAAATATCATACTTTCCCACTTGAACAACGAGTGAACAGTGAGTGTTTTCTTTATTTTTATAGATAGTCACTATGATTATATGACTAAAATAACTCCACCATAAAATCACTGGTTCATTAGTGTATATATACTGTAAATACGGTAAAATAGGCTCATAGGAAACACACTAATAATGAATTAATGCTAACAGCAAAGTTGTTTTCATTTTCCATGACTAAAAATATATTGTGAACCTGATGGATATGACGAATTAAGCTTATATACCAAAGCAAAATCATCCATCCCTAAATTTTGTTATAAGCATGTTTTACTGCTTTTTTTTTTTTTTTTGGTTTGTTTTTTTTCTTAACCATACTACAAATTTTTACTCAAACCTAAATTATTTAATACATAATGATTATTTATAATTAGTGATTATTTACCTTAAAATTACTTTTCATTTCATTGTAATTGAAAAACATGTTAGAAATGAATAATTTGTCCATGTTTTTTTTTTTTTTTCCATTTTGTTGTTGTTGTTTTTTTGTTTGTTTTTTTTTTTTGTTTTAAAGGGGCCTGGACACAGATTTGAAGTTAATAGTTTCTAAAATTTTCCGTATAAAAATTCGATGATAATGACATTCTTCTTTACATCACATAAAAGATCTGTGTTTGTAACAGGGCACGAACTCTGTTATTGTTAATGTTTATGTTTCACCGGGCTTGTTCAATTTGTTTAACTCTGCACAGTGCACACATCACTGAGCACGGACTGACAATACTGGTGAGCTGGTTTTGCTTTCTCACATTTCTTCTCTGAATTTTCTGGATTATAGTTTTAATATTTTTCATAATACACAAAAAAAAAATACCTCTCTTAAGCATTATGGATCAAGTTTGCTTTGTGAAAGTGCAAGTATGTGTAAATCAAACGTATCCCAAAATTTGTAGTTTTAATAATTTCCAGATAAAAGAAGTTTCTGAATTTCCATGTGAAATGCTAAAGCAACATATAAGCAATGATATTATACAGAAAATTTGAGAAAATATTAACTTCAAATCTGTGTCCCAGCCCCTTTAATACATCGCAAATGCACTAATCTAGCACTATTACATGGTATCTTTTAACTAGTATTTTAAAGTTTATTTTTGTTAGTAAATCAGGACTCCACAATCTAAAACAAGAGGCCCATGGGCCACATCTCTCACCTGAGCACGTTGGCTAGGCAAAAGCACAAATCAGTCCAGTATTGAAAAGATAACCGGGGGGGGGGGGGGGGGGGGGGTTGAATTTTAAACTACAACAAAGCCATTTGTTATTTTGACATGCTTCCATGTCAAAATAACAAATGGCTTTGTTGTACTTGAGAAGATTTTATAAAATATTTCCCATATATTTCTTTGTAAAAATTTGATCCCCCATTGTGGCTCCTCCCTATCCCAGGGGTCATCATTTGAACAAACTTGAATCTAAACTACCTGAGGATGCTTCCATATCAATATGACTAAACATAGCTTTTCTGTTCTTGAAAAGAAATATTTTTTCTATATGTTCTTATGTAAAACTTTCGATCCTCCATTGTGGCCCCGCCCTATCCTCGGGGGTCATCATTTGAAAAAACTTGAATCTATACTACCTGAGGATGCTTCCATATCAATATGAC